GCTGCGTTCTGAATAGTGAACCTGCTGCTGGAAAATTCTTGCCAGGAACAGGATTGCTAGTGGGACTGAGACTGTATTCGCTCTGGCAACAAAAACTTGGCAGCCTGCTAACCTTCTAATGTAAATAAATAGAAGGTGTGATAAGATGTTATAAACCACCTGAAACCAGACTTCAGTCTCTTTTGTGATCATTGAGGATTAATTACTTCACAGTGCCTGCAGCTACAGAGGTCATTGTGGGCTTGTTTTAAAGCTCTATTAGTCCTTGTATATGGTCATATATGCAGGAATATATATATGCTTTAATGTCCATAGTCTAGACACAGGTACACTTTAAAACTGTAGGAAACTACCAACACAAAAGTGAAATGTTGGCCCCCCAGAGGTGTATGCATAATGTGCTGGTAACCAATGACCATATGGTGCGATGTGATTATGAGTCTTGTAGGGGCTTTCCTCTCCACCCATTCCTATTAGTTCATCACTTACTGGCCAACAGGATTGTGTGGGAGGGGGTTTACCAAGCTTCATCATATCAAGGACATGCTAGAACTTATGATCCAGCATTTAGGTGTGCAGGTAGCATGTTAAACTACTGCAGGTATGTGCAGGCACCTCTTTGTATCTGCTAGCAACTTTGCTTGTTTACTTAAAATGACAGCTAAGAGAGGGAAGAGGGCATATTTTGTTTGTCTAATTGTTAACATTTATGACTACACGGTTTCCTTTTTTAATGTCAGTAGTATCTGTCAAGCAGGGACGTGCGGTCAGGGGAGGCAGAGCTTCACCTAGAATTATGGAGGAAAAAGCTGCCAGCTTCAAGTCCGAAGCTGGCAGCTTTTTCTTCATTCAGATCGCCATCTAACAGGTTACACAGCAGGGAAATCCTCCCCACTGTGTAACCTGTCATGGACGGAGTGCTGCTCGTTAATTACAGGCAGCGCTGCATCCAGCTTTTGACAGGTGGTTAGGTTACACGGCAGCGGGCTTCCCCACTGCTTGTGTAACCTAACTATTGAAGCCAGAGCTGTCACAGCCTCTACTCTTTGTTAGAAGCGTGAGCTCTGTGGATGGCTTAGGACCAATGGCAAAGCGCCATAGGTCCAAGCTGTCCAATCAAAAAAAGAAAAAGAAAACCCACTGAGGCTATCAATCTCAATGCCTCAGCAGTGATGAGCAAGTGAGGGACATGGAGGCTCCTCCCTATCTCCCCCTTCCTCCTTTACACTAGCTTGGGGACGGAATGGGGCGGGGCTTCGTCCGTCGGGGGGCTTCGTCCGATGGGACGAGCTTCGTCCGGCGGGGGCGGGACGTGCTGGGGGCGAGGCTGCCTCACCTGGAACAAGAGGTACCACACGTCACTACTGTCAAGTAATTTTGTAATAATTGTGCCTTGTATTTTTCAGCGTAATTAGGGTAATCAAATCTTACTGCATATTATTGTATATTTCATTATAAGGTCCTGCAGCCATGATACTGTCAATTGGAGAACAAAATCAATGTAACAGTAAGGGTGTGCTGTACTGCAGCAAAAAAGCAGTTCATCTGCAACCCTCTTACACAGTGTAAGCTCTGATTGTACAAATTATCATGTACAAACATGTTGCCTTCTCCCGTTTTGACCAGAAGCAATGCAAAAGTGCAATGGACCAAGAACTAGCAAGCATGAAAGAAGTGACGTTGACAGATTATCTGTAGTAATCAGTAACTATATTAGCACAGCACCAGTGTGACATTACATAATTAATTAATACAACTTATAAGTTATTAAAGCGGAAGCAAATTGTGAAAGAAGAACTCCAGGATTTTTTTTATTAACCTTTGGAGTGGGGCTGCCCCCTAACTGCAAGGATTACGAGCTTGTTTGTGTCTAGGTAAAATAAAAAGTTATATTCACCCGAAGCTCCAAGCTGCCTTCTTCTTAGACTGGTCCCACCAGTGTCTCTCCCCATCCTCTACAGCGATCTAAGGTCCCTTAAATCATCATGTTATATACACAGTGTATAGACGCGAGAATGTTGAGGAAGATTCCAATGCTGCTGCAGTGAAGGAGACAGGCTGGAGGGAGTGTCGTGGCAGCTGGCCAGCTCAAAGCTTTGGGTGAGTATATCTTTGTTATTTTTGTCCCTAGAGACAAACGAGCACTTAACCCTTGCAATGCGGGGGTAGCCCCAATGCAAGGGTTAACAGATCCTGGAGATCTTCTTTAAAATAATAAAAAGGGCGTAGGGGGTCCTGGAATGTTTAACCACAATGTGCTAGTATGCACAGCAAAGTAGCACATTATGACAGCCTTACCTGCCAAACAGATCCCATCCAACACCGCAGTTCTCCCTTGCCGATCCTTCCATCTTCACCCAGATCTTCTTCCAGGTATGGAGCCATCACAACGGGCCCCGAAAACATAACTCCCACTCCCTTCATCTTGGCACACCAGGTATGTGCACTGAGCTGCTGCGGCTCAGTGTACTGAAAAGAATTGCTGAATGGCAGCAAGAAGCTTTTATGACAGAAGAAACATACACTGCATTTTTCTTATATTTCCACTTTAAGCCAAGGCAGGTGGTAGTGTGGCTTATCCATTCTAATAATATTGTTCTTCTGTTGTTATTATATCATATCATAGCAGTGTTCATGACCAAAATACTGGTACTTCCAGACATAGTGGTTTGGTGGGGATCTTTTATAAATAACATGGACCTCCAGTCAATGTACAAAATGGAAAAGCAGTGCAGCGCTGTAATACTCAGCTAAAATCCAGAGTTCTCCTTCACTGCTCTTCTTTTCACCAGATGATGCCCTCAGTTTTCCAACTAAGGACATACTATGGATGCAAGGTGTCACCACAGTGCTCTTCATACACATAAGGGGAGCCTTTAGGAGGTGAAAGTGTGTCATTTGTGTGGAGACCACAGAGACCACAGTTGAGGTTTTAAAGTTTATGTGAACGCATTTTACCTAATGGACATTGTTTTAAAACAAATAACATATGTTTCCCATAACGGCATATATGTATTTAAAAAAATTACTTTATTACCTTTTTTGGGTCCTCTTATTTAGTGGTCTGTGATCACTTAATCAGCCTTCCCTCTGTCCCTTATTCACATTATGGGTAGCAGGTCAGTTTTGTAAGCAGGTGAGCAGTTGCTGATGTCCAATACAGCAAGCAAATGCTTTCCCACCTGTATACGTTGCGCTTCACAAGCATTCCTCTTCGCTGTCAATTAACCTAGAGGCACAGGGTGGGGGTATGTCTGTAACACTGACTACAAAGATACAGGCACGCTGTGTGTCTGCATGATGCCCTGTAACTCTGAAAGGGAGAGAGTGAGATGCAAACTGACCATGCCAGCATGGACTTGCTTCAGTGCTTTCAATGGTTTTACTTACTCCGTACTTAATTCAAAGCTAAAAACAAATGTTTGACTTTATATATGATTTAAAAAATTGCAATCTTTATACATTTGTACCTGTGACAAGATGACTTTCACATATCGATCCCTCTACGCACCAACCATTCTAGACCAACATTCCATAGAGCCCTAGGGGTTCCTTGAGCTGTAGGGTTTCTTGTAAGAGGTTATTTGAGATGTGGCTGATTGGTCTCCCATATATTTGCATAATTTCGGTGTCAACATGGCTGAGCTAGCGCCATGACATCAATGATCTTTTTAGCTGTTGGTAAGGGTGGCATTCTGACCACCACTGTAAGGAGGCATTCTTCCAGCTTACCACCAATGTAAGGATCATTCTTCCCACGGACCACCAATGAAGGGGGCATTTTTCTCACTAATCACCAATATATGGGGCATTCTTCCCACTGACCAGCAATGTAGGAGGCATCCTTATCACTGACCACCAATGTAAGCTGCATTTTTCCCACTAACTACCAATGCAGGGGGCATTCTTCCCACTGACCACCCATTAGTGGGCATTCTTCCCATTGACCAGCAATGTAGGAGGAGGTTTTCCGTTCACTTCCAGTCTGATAGCCACAACTGGGACTTAGAGGAAAACCCCGACAAATTGAGGCAAATCCCTGGTCGTCACCAAAATGAGCAGAACAAGTGTCCCCTTTGGAAAGAATCACATCAGTTTCATTGTCACACGTCGGCTAGAACTATGAGGTGAGTGAAAATCACTCACCTCATAGTTCTCCTTTAAAGATGCAAGCTTTCTGGATGACTTAGATGCCTTCTTCAGACTCTACAGAGCTCTTAGTTATCCTGAAAGCTTGCATGTATCTTTTCATACCTCCCAACTGTCCCCGATTCAGATGGACTGTCCTTCTTTTGGGACCAAATCCCTCTGCCCCTCTTTCCTCCTCAGTTGTCCCTCTTTTCTGATGTACAGATAACTATGATAAAGTTCTATTTAACTATCAAAAGTGTTATTACACTCTAAAAACCTTTATCTCTGAAACATCTTGTTTTCTATTTGGAAAAACTGTATAAATAGTAATGGTGGGAAAATAAACAATTTTGGGTTTATCCGGCTATTTTTGTGGCATATAAACTTTTAATGGTTGGCGTTACTGGTGGTCACGGTGGAAGTCTATTACATAAACAGTAGCCAATCATCTTCCAGCTTTCATTTTTAAGGCATAACCAAACAAACTGAAGAAAAGAGCTGATTGGTTGGCACGCACAGCTGCTCCACATTCTATCTGCTCCAGTATTAGGAAATCTAGCCATTGTCCTGGAAGTTTTTTCTCATCTCTTAAAGTTGGGAGGTCTGCCTTTAATAATTTAATGTAGTCAATACAGGTGTTTCTCAAACTTTCTGTGTTGCACAATGGGATAAAAACTATACGCAAAACAACCAAAAGACAAAACCAGTGTAGGTACATGTACATTTTCACTGGTCGACAGGAGAATGTATAGGTATGTATGATTGAGAAAACTCGAGCTGTACGCCTTTTTGCCTCCACCAAGATGGACGTTCTGACGTACGCTGTCACGTAGCCACAAGCAGTCCTCGCGCCCTTCGCTGTCACCTGTTGACCCAGACAGTAGGCGGGAAGAGCCCCGCCCTTAGACGTGACGCGATCATGACGTCGGGAGGCCCGGCTGCCAGCGGCAGGTACTGCACGGGACGCCATGTTGTGAGAGGAAGTGAAGAGCAGAGTGTGCGGCTAGCGTGTGGGGAGAGGAGCTGCGCTGGAGCGGCACGCATTCGCCAGCTATTGGACGACAGACAGCAGCAGCGGCTCCACCAGCAGAGCGGCCGGGCAGACGAGGGAGTTCGCTCTTTTCGCTGCTCCTCCGGGACCTGTGCGGGAATCCGCTCGCTCGGCGGGGAAGATGCCGCTGGCGCAACTGGCGGACCCGTGGCAGAAACTGCCGGTGAAGAAAGTGGAGAGCGAGGTGAGCCGAGGGAGGGGTGGGAGAGAGAGCGAGAGCGGGCGTGTAGCTTCATGTCGGGGAGACCCTGCCAGGAAATCCGGGCGGATCTGTTAACCCGTTCCTGGCCGCAGAGGAGCAACTTTGTGGCTAGTCTCCGGAGTAGTGACAGCGCACAGACTTTCTATATATGGAGAGAGTTTGATCATGAGGAGAGCTGACACTACATTGTGTGCACAGGAGAGGTGACAGCAGGCAGGGCCATTCCAACCAGGACTACATGACCTCTGCATGTCACTCTCACAGGTACCCACCGCCTGGCAGAGCCCCTACAATGGCATTTCCTTTTCTGTGGTAGATCTCACAAAATCACAACCTTATCAGTGCTGCTGATCTCCTGCAGACTCTTTGTAGCCATTCCTGTCTAAATCTATGAACTTCAGCAACGGCTGCATGACATTTCTCAGGACATTCACCTTGTTCATCCTTTGTTGCATCATACAATACTTTTTCACCCTGTTTATCCTTTTGTTTCTTATCAGTGCTGCTGATCTCCTGCAGTCTCCTTTGTAGCCATTCCTGTCTACATGTATAACTACAGGGGTGACTGCATGACATTTCTCAGGGCATTCACCTTGTTCATCCTTTGTATCATATAATGCTTAATTGCACCCTGTTCATCCTTTGTTGCTCATCAGTGCTGCTGATCACTTGCAGCCATTCCTGACTACATGTATAAACTACAGTGGTGGCTGCATGACATTCCTCAGGACATTCACCTTGTTCAGTCCTTGATGTATCTCACTGCTGTCTCTCTCTTGCAATCACTTCTTGTATGTATGCATGAACTCCAATTACTGCATGTAATTTCTCAGGTCATTTACCTCGTTCATTCTTTGTTGCATCATACAATACTTTATTTCACCCTGTTCATCTTTTTTTTTTTGCTTATCAGTGCTGCTGATCTCTTGCAGCCTCTCCTGTCTTTATGCATGGACTACAATGGTGATTGCATGACATTTCTCAGGACGTCGTTCACCCTGTTCATCCTTTGTTGCATCATGCTTTATTTCACCTTGTTCATTCCCCTGTTACTTATCAGTACTGCTGGTCTCTTGCAGCCATTTCTGTCTACATGCATGAACTACAGTGGTGGCTGCATGTCATTTCTCAGGGTATTCACCTCGTTCATTCTTTGTAGCATCTCACTGTTTTCGATCTCTTGCAGCCACTTCTTGTATGTATGCATGAACACCAGCAATTACTGCATGTCATTTCTCTGGGCATTCACCTCGTTCATTCTTTGTAGCATCTCACTGTTGTCACTCTCTTGTAGCCCCTTGTATGTATGTATGTATGTATGTATGTATGTATGTATGTATGTAGGTATGAACTCCAGCAATTACTGTATTTCATTTCTCAAGGCATTCACCTCGTTCATTCTTTGTAGCATCTCACTGTTGTCACTCTCTTGTAGCCCCTTGTATGTATGTATGTATGTAGGTATGTATGTATGTATGTAGGTATGTATGTATGTATGTAGGTATGTATGTATGTATGTATGTATGTATGTATGTATGAACTCCAGCAATTACTGCATGTCATTTCTCAGGGCATTCACCGTGTTCATTCTTTGTAGCATCTCACTGTTGTCGCTCTCTTGTAGCCTCTTCTTGTATGTATGTATGTATGAATGTATGTATGTATGTATGTATGTATGTACTCCAGCAATTACTGCATGTCATTTCTCTGGGCATTTACCTTCATTCTTTGTTGCATCACACAATACACTGTTCATCTTTTTTTGCTTATCAGTGCTGCTGATCTCTTGCAGCCTCTCTTGTCTACATGCACAGACTGCAATGGTGGCTGCATGACATTCCTCAGGACATTCACCTTGTTCATCCTTTGTTGCATCTCACTGGTGCCGGTCTGTTTGCAACCACTTCCTGTCTACATGCATAAACTCCAGCAACGGCTGCATGACTTTTTTGAGGGTGACAACACTGGGGAACATTTGGGTGAGTGGGGCAGAGCGTCAGCACTTTAGGAAGTGCTTGAACAAGAAACGTTTTGACAGGCTCACAGGTGAAAGCTGCAGATTTTAAAACATTGACCATTTTCTTTGAATGCACAATAACATTTTATAGTTTATATGAGAGATTATGGATTGGGTGTACATCTACTTGAAATGAACAGGTGAAAGTTCTTAAACCTCCACCCCCTTAATTTGTATGTATTTGTTGGAAGCCTGGAAGTATTATAATAAATACGACATTTATTTTTGTGGTTAGCAGTCACCATGCTTAACATTTACACTAAAGCATGCCTGTAGCCCAGACATAAGATTTAAAACAATTGAACTCTTTTTATAGTACCATTACATGCCTTTTTATAAAGTATTGTTGAGTAAAAGAAATAGGTCTTGGTGTGGGGTTTTCTTGGCTGTGTAAGAATGATTGGCACAATCAAGGTTCATTGTCTTTGTTCCACAACAAGAATTACAGTGAATAATTTAAATTCATACAGTTTATGAATTAATCATGATGAAGGGAGAAGCTGGGCAGCATTCTAAGTATGTATTTATGGTTGGAGTATAGTGTTCATGTTATTGAAAGTAATATGATGAGGGGCCGGACGTTGTGATGGGCGGAGGGGCCGGACGTTGTGATGGGCGGAGGGGCCGGACGTTGTGATGGGCGGAGGGGCCGGACGTTGTGATGGGCGGAGGGGCCGGACGTTGTGATGGGCGGAGGGGCCGGACGTTGTGATGGGCGGAGGGGCCGGACGTTGTGATGGGCGGAGGGGCCGGACGTTGTGATTACGAAGACATTCTTTACTTGAACACCTTATTTAAACATGTTGAGGGGGATTTATCAAAATGTGAAGCAGTTGCCCATGGCAACCAATCAGCTTCTCTCTTCAGTTTGTTCAGTTAAGATTTGAAAATGAGAGAGGCAGATTAGTTGCTATGGGCAACTGCTCTAGATTTTGGCTGCTCCAGTTTTAATAAATTCCCCTTGTGTTTTTTGCGCTGTTTTCTCAGAGTGCTTTTTTCTTTCTTGCTGATGTGCGAGAAATTCCACTGTATGGCTCTGACATGTTCTGTGTGAGTCTGTCCTTTGGCTTCAATTGGATCCCTTTGTTTTGTGAACATGCCCTGCTAGATTTATTTTGCTTTGCCCCCAGTTTAGTGTCCTTTCCACCCTTTAAACCTGCCTGAGTAATTGGGCATTAGGAAGCTGTGGAGGAGTGCCAGAAAGCAAATTCGCTGCTGCTGTCATTTCAGTCCTGCTCATCTGTAACCTGACTACCATTATAGCATTCATCGCCCCTAAAACAAGGCAGTCTGGCAGAGAGAGGCAGTGGATTATTTATGAGGTTGGAGACCTCTAGACTCATGCATTTCACTTCTCATGTTTAGAGATATGTCATTACAGTGAGCTATTTAGCCTCTTGTTCTCATCTTTTTACTTTGAATAGGATGTGGATTTCTTCTTCATTTACAGTGCTGGATACAAATATTTCCCAATGCCTTTATATAATTTGGGAAGATTATTTGCTGATGCTTTGCTATGTCAGCAGGGTGTGGTTCAGGGTAGTTTATGAGTGACATCATACTGTTACTCAGTTTCTCCTCTGCCCTTCTGATCTTGCTACATCATCCGTGGGTGGTGGTGAATGTACGGGAATGGCTGAAGATAGTTCAGGTTCTTTATACCACCCTGGTTGTGCATGCTGGTATAATTCTATCATGCAGTGTCTGTGCTTGATGAAGCAATGTCGTGGGAGATGCCATGTGGTGCTTATTAACCTCTTAAGGAGTATTACTGGTTTTGTCACATCAGCCAGTACAATTTATTTTCTGAATGATAAATAATTAACATATTCTATATATTACGTATTTTGTGTAGTGTGTGAATCCTGTATTATAACTAATAATAGTGTGTGAAAGGGAGATTTAAGCTGCCCACAGATCTTACAATTTATCTGCAGCTTTTCTGTGGTCAGATGGAAAAAGTGCAACAGATTGGCCCAGGTGGAGATTACTCCATCCACACAGTTAAGTGTGGATGGAGGAATCTGTTGCATCTTTTCCATCAGACCACAGAAAATCTGCAGATAAATTGTAAGGTGTGTGGGCAGCTTTAGTTAGTCCAGACTGTCAAATTTGTTGTCATTGTAGTCCATCACAGGAGTGAGCTTTTCCCAATCCTTAGAGCTAGCGTGGGGCCCTGCAGCTGTCAGACACGAGCTGTATATACCGAGCACCAAGCGATCATGTAAGTCACTGTCGGTCACTGTTTCCTGCAGGGATTCCCTCCTCCCCTCTCTCTGTTCCTCCAGCACTCATTGGAGGGACGGACACCGTAGGTGTCTCTAGAGAGGCAGAGCCAGCTGTCAATCAGGCAGCCAGGTGGATCCCGACAATATTGTCAGGATCGGTTTTTGTTGCAGTGCAGTTTATGCACTGTCACCATATAGCAGGAGTAGCCTGTGACCCAAAAGATTTGACTTTACTTGATTTGACTTGACTTTTACGGCATTTAACCCGTGCAGTATGGTGGGTCCACGGCAAGATAATCAATGATTGAAAAAGTTGACAACTTTTTCAATAATCGATTAGTTGTTGCAGCCCTAATGTACTCGCCAGAATGCCCAGTGGGAACGGAGCGTTAATACCCAATTGAAATGCATATTTTTTTTACCTGCCAGAAATCAGCAGTGCTGCCTCCTCCCTAATGTCAGTTTGAATTCTGGGTGAGGAAATACCAGACACTTTTCACCTGACCTCAGCCATTGCAGTGACTTCTTGCCTTACTCCTCCAATCCAACATATAAAACAATACATTTACATAAGTGACTCTGACTGACTGTGGTAAATAGCCCTATAATCACTAGATATGCTTCCTTTTCTTGAGGTGTGACTGGGCATCCTAAGCTGGCCTTGTCAAAACATTTGATAATGTCATCAGAGACTCGACAAATGTCACTCAAAATTTCGTTTGGTTTTAAATGTTTGA